GCGTCGATAAATGCAGATTCATAGGGCAAAAAATAAGCGTCCGCGCGCTTCCAAAGATGACAGATCCACGCAGAGAAATCCCAAGAAAAGACAAGAGTCGAAGATGTTAAACAAAGCGGAGAGTGTGAGGACAGTGGCTATTGCGGAGACGTCCGTGAATGTGGAGAATACGACGACTGTGGAGACGCAGGTCACGTCTGAGAATGTGGAGAAGCAGTCGATGTCCGAGACTGTGGAGACATCGGGGACTGTCGAGACGGCTGTAGCAAAAGCGGAGACTGATGAGACACAATTTACGTCCGATATGTAGGAGACGGTTGTGGGGAGTGCGCAGACGTCGGAGACTGTGGAGACAGAGGCGACATTCGACATTGTGAACTCTCCGCTGATGTTGGGTACTGGAGCGACTGGAGAGGCGCACGCATCTTCGATGCAAGTCCATGTTTCCGACATGGTGGCCGTAGAATCCGATCATACAATGGCTAGTAGTGAAGGCGATAACGACGGGTACCAGCCTCGCAAACGAGCTAGCAGTCGTATAGCTGAGCTTAATTCTATGGTGAATCAGCCGCAAACAAATGTGAATGTCGTCGCTCCATTTCCCCAGGTAGCAATCAAGTCGTGGGCTGAATTTGACACCATACTTAACTCCTACACGAAGGCCAAGAGCCTCCACTTCCGCGTTCGTAGCTCCGAATCATCGGCAAAACACAACATGTTGGTGTTTTAAAAAGCTTATATATATATATATATCGAGTCGATCTAACATGCGAATATGTGCTGGTGTTTATTTTATTTGTAAAAATCACGGCACCGACATACCTACTAGTTTTTGTTGGAGCTACAGGAGTTTTCGCTGTAGGCATGATGTGTCACAAAATTCGCGATCAACTGGGCACCGCAATTGCAAAGCGCGGTACTGCGGATGCCTGGCGCGCATCACACCGACAGTTTTGAAAATGGAAGACGGGACGTACCAGATTTTTATCAGAAATGAGGTACGCTTTCTCTTAGTGCTACATTTATTCATCCACCAATTTGGTTTTTCCTTTACTACCTTTTAGAATCACACCCACTCGCATCACACCACGCGCACAGAGGCTACATTATATCTGACAACGAAAACGTTGCCAATTGATGAGCAAGATATTGAAGATGTTAAGACGCTTGCCGACGTCGTCAAAGCAAATTACCAACTTCCTCAACGGCCTCATTGGTGAGAAGGCTTGCTTTTGAAAAGAAAGAAACAAAAATATAATTCAAATTTGTATTGAATGCTAACAGCACACCTCAGCAAACCCGCAATTTAATTCGCAGTATCATTGGTCAGAACTCGGCACAGAAGCGCTTCACAAGTATTCTCAATGCTCTGGTGTAGAAGGAAGGCAATGACGTTCGCGTCATGCAGGACCAGATGGATGTCACATGTGGAGTCGTAATGCAGACCAAGGTGCAGAAGTTAATGTTTGAGATGTAGGGGGAGACTATTATAATGGACTTCACGCACGGTACCAACAATCTGGGCTACCATTTGGGTACGTATAATAGCAACCTTATATGACAAAGCAGCCATACGCCAACCCAATTATAGCAACCGTATAGCAATCTCAGAATCTAATCGAAACCTGTAATTGCTCAGACAATTTAAGGCAGTCTTATGGTCACTACAGCCACTGGCAGAGGATTCCCAGTTTTGGATTTTATCGGCCTAGACTAACAGGCTATGACTATATCAACAATTCTCACTTACTTCAAGAATAAGAATCCAGGATGAAGCAGCATCTCGTCAGTCGTGATTGACAAGGACTTCGTCATATGGCGCGTTCTGGTGCAAACATTCCCCGATGCAAAATTATTGCTGTGTCAGTTTCACGCAATCACTTACTGGAAGAAGGTGATGAAGCGATCTGCATTCTGTCTGACGATATCGCTGCAAGATGAGCTGATCGTAATCATGACGAGGCTGTTGTACAGGTACATATCACTACAATCGGCTATTCAATAGGAATCTAATATTCTTAAATATTTCCATTAGCTCCACAAAGACTGACTATGACGCGCGGTACGATGCTTTAAGACGAGACGGCGAGACGAGCAAAAGACCCGCCATTTTTTTCGTATTTCAAAAAGAACTGGAACTCTTGCCGAGAAAGGTGGCCGAATTTCTCTCATAGCAAGTTTTTAAGGCTGGCAATACGACCACGAATCGTATTGAATCAAATTGAAGCCAAGTTAAGCTGTTGTTAGGACACAAAATTCGGATCGATAAAACAATTGCAGGGCTGCTTCAGCATCAGAATACTATTGGGCACAAGATCGCTTTAGCAATTGGGCACCATAGCTCTACACAAGAATGCTGAAGACTGTCACGACAGTTTTGAGGGGAGTTGCCACACGATTGTCGTCAGACATGCTTTTGAAGCTCAGGAAAGAATGGGAACGCTTCCTTACCCTTATGGGTCATGCAAGATGTGAGCGAGTGGCATCAAGTGTGTCTGGATGGAAGGTTCACTTTTTCAACCAAACGTTTTGATGCGACGACGTTGAGGGGATGTGTACATGCCTATTCTACAGCAGTCATCAGTTGCCGTGCCGTCATCTTATGCATTTGGCTCGAGAAGTCCACGGGTTTGAAGTGCTTCCTGCTATGGCGATTATAGAGCGATGGAGTATGTTGTCGGCGCTGGACGTGAACGACGATATAGCGACGGCAGCAGACGCACTACAGACAATTGTACAGATGTCCAAGTTAAAGTCGCCAAAAGTAAGGTTGCCGGAAGAGTTGCCGAATGGGTCGCCGTATGGTAATCAGTCCAACGACAGCGCTGTTCAAATTTCAAGGCCGACAAAAGAAGAAGCTTACGTTCGCCTTCGTCGTAACGTGCGCGCACATCAAGTTTTTTTGTCGTCAGCTGAAAAATATTCGTACGCGAAGGCGGTGCTAGAACCCCTTCTAGGCTATTTGTCACATTTGTCAAGTGCTGACTTCTATCAAGAACTTAGTGCGTGGAAAAAAACCATCGAGCTGGGGTTAAAATGCGAGAAGGCCGGTGCCGTCAAATCTGGACCCTCTGATGGAGATACTACTAATGGTGATAGTGAAAGTGATTCAGCCCTAATAGTTGATCCTACAGAGGCGTTGGATACGGTGAAGCTAATGCAGAAAATCGAAAATGAATCTGAGCACAGTGATGAGTCCGCCGATGATAACAGCGTGCCAGACGATGACGTGCTCCTGACCCAAACTATGGAGCCAGTTCAAAATGAACCCGAGTGTGAGCCACCGTCGTCTAAAAAAACGGGAACTGGCAGGGACGAGTGAGGTATCGATAAAAGACAATGTTTGTACCTGCGAGAAGTCAATAGAGTTTGAGTCCACGACAGAGACGACTGCGCGGCAGGTAGATAATATTAATGTTCCAAAACCAAACGCCGGGGGAAACCAAGAACCCAGCTCAAGCAGCTAAAACTATCACGAGGGGCAGATCGATTAGCCGTGCACACGTACCCAAGCAATTTAGCAGTATCGTTGAAGGAGCTTGTATCTTGGGCAAGAAGCACCCCAAATCTGAAGAATGTATTGGAGCTGATGGAGAAGTATCCTGTTCAGCTGGAAGACCCTTACCTACGAGCCCGTTCGCTGGAGTGTCACTGGGAAGTTGTACGACCGTCGGACTACATGCACACATTTGTCCTTCCTGCTGATTTAGCAAGATCGATGCAGGCACTGACCACAGCAACTAAGGTGTCCTAACAGTATCGACAGGAAGAGGAAGAAGCAAGGACTCAAGAGCGACGTCGTCATCACCATCGACCCCAAGCTCTTAAATTCAGCGGGTAAGGTCACTTTACTGCTGTGGTTGCCGTTGGTAGGTTGCTGTAGACTTAGAGTTGCTCTATGAGGGTTGCTTTAAGCAAATGTTGCTTTATTTACCTAACGTTGCCTAACAGATGATGACTTGCGTATATACCGAGAGCTCACCGGTACTTTGACTGCGTTCTACGATATGAAGGTGAGGTATAAATCGTGGATCGAAGACAGGAAGTGGATCGAACAGGACTGGATGAAAATCGACTGTTCGGGGGAACTGCTTTGTGTCGAAACCAAAACCGCGGGACTTGCTCCACAAGCTGTCCGAGTCCGGCACAAAGAAATTGCCAATGAGATTATATCGAAGTTTGCATCGAGCCCACTGCGTGCTGCATTTGCGACGCGTTCAAATACGCTGTAGCTCGGGTTTGATAACATCATCGGCGCTCTCTGTCGAGGCTGGTTGAGCGACTGAGCTGTGGATTTCTGCCTGGAAGCTATTGCGGGGTCAATCGGACAGACCCTAATGCTTTCAGCCTTATTTGAAGTGGTGGGGTGGCCAACAATCCCCAAGACACCAATACTTGAGACAAACTTCATTGTTCACTCAGTGAAGTTGAATGCGAATCACTGGAGGATGATTATGGTGCGTCAGTATCACTATGTTGCGGCTGAAACGCTACGGGTGAGTGTGCTCATGTACGAGCCGCTTGTCGATGAGAAGTATCGAGATCAAATGGATGCAGTGTGGAAAGGTGTTATGAACGATGCAGAAGGGAGTGACGGGGAAGTGAGCGAGGGCAAAGAAGGACTTATTGGCCTCGTGAAACGCTGGCATGCTGCTTCCGCCAGTGGTTACGAGCTGGAAATTAGCCCGACAGAGTGGATTGAGAGGCCATAGCAGCCTGACGCCGTAAGCTGCGGCGTCCTTGGTGTAGCACAAGGATACAGCAGTCTTACAGGAAGTATGCAACTACAGGAGCACAGAGTGTTAAAGCGAGATACCAGTACTATGTGCCTCAGGATGCTGTGGATGGTAGTGTGCCATCCCGCGAGCGCTCAATCTCCGCGTATAACGCAGACAAGGCTAGCCGTATTCACCAACTGCTGCAGAAGCAACTATGAGAGGTAAAAGCTAATTGAATAACGTCTTAATACTCATTGCTTTCTCAATTATGTTTATTTGTACTTAGCTAATAAGCACTTTAACCAATATCTCCAGTAGCATATCAAACGAGAGTGACTCCGTGTTAGCAGTTCCTAAGACTTCTTCGATAACAATGTTCAGCAGCTCATAACTGCGCTCTTCGTGCTCGTTGACCAAGGCCTGAAACTCTAGCTGGACCTGCATGATCCTCTCCAACTTTTCTCTTATCATCGGAATTTCGACAAGCCGAGCGCGCGCCAACTCGTGCGCCAGCGAGATGTCGATCATGATGCGTTGTCGTTGAGGTCGGAGTCGTTTTGCTTGCTTGGTCTATGAAAACGTCTTTATGAACTCCTTTCTGCACGTGAGATTTGTTGCGAACCTACGTGATTTCTCTAAATTTTGAAAAAGATGTCGAAGCCACTCATGATGTGGCCCACACATCATCAATTACTCGTATAGTATTATAGATGCTCTTTTCTGAGGTTGCTTTTGCTAGAAGTGTTGCTTTAGTGATAAGGCTGTCATAATTTCCGTCGTCAGATCGTAAAAGGTAAAAGTTTGGGTTGCGGTAACGTCATTCTAGAACAAACGTTATGGTAGAATATAGGCACTGGTCCAGGTGGAGTAAATGAAGGATCTATACAGATTACGATGGTGTGCGTAGCTCCATTTTGAGGCTAAATAGCTACTTCTCCGGTCCAGAAAAGAATTAACAATGAGGTTTTTCTTTTAAAAAAACCTATCGGTGTAACGCTGGGCTGGCGTCGATTGCTGCATGTTGCCCGATCCGTTGTCCCATAGGGAATGCACGTACAGCGAGTCCCAGCCTACCACAGCGTAGAAGCGAACGCCGTACTTATCCGGCTTTGAGGGCATGTACGTGCACGCTCTCGAGCGCGCTTTAGTTGCCACAGTCATCTCGTCAATGGTACTGACTCCAGTGGGGGTAGCAAACGCTGCAAACCGCTTTTGGAAATGCCCGAGTATTGCTCTGCTGTGCCACAGCGGATGGCGCACCTTGTCAATCGATTTGTCACCGTTGGCATAGAACTTCAGGGCCGCTCCAATATGCTGAAACCGCGTCCTCGCTATGGTATCTGGGAATGAACTCTGACCGAGAAAACGCTTTTCCGACCAATACTCACTGATATCGTTCATCACGCAAATGCTCATGGCAATCTCCAGCCCGCAATACGCATCAAACTCGCTCTCCGTGGGTGTATTTTGTCCTCAAGCAGCCATTTCAGCGGATGTCCACGAAAGCAAGCTACTGCAAAACGGTGAAGTGAAAAACAGTGAAAAAAATCCATATTATCCATTATCACGATAGGCTTTGGCTACTTGCTGTTCCGCCACGACGTGTAGTCCACTCTGCATGTTCAGCGACTCCATGTACGACTACCCCATGACGCTCGGTGTGCAGATGTTGAATGCAGTTATGGGGGTACAATTCGTGCTCTGTACATCTGCTCCCGTGTTCTCGTGCAATGCGTTGACACCACGCGGCAGATACGTGGGGCGAGGCTGCTCACCGCCGATGATAAGCTGGGCCTCGGTGGCTCTGATTTGCACCTCAGCAGCACAGCACTGCTCTCTATGATCGCTGCGGTAACCTGCATCGGCTGTGAGCTGACTGTAGCCTCCAGCAACACTCTCACTACGCGCAACATGCTGTCCCATACTGCCACTACGCCGTACAACACCTCCTTCTCGTCCTTGGGCGCCGCTGGTATCTCCACCGAGCTCCGCTTTATCGCCAGCAATCCACGCGTGGTCTTCATCAGTTTGAACACCATAATCTTCGTCAGCCCCCCACGCGTCTTCGTGCCGGGGTGTGCGGGGGCAAGCTGAAACCTCTATGCCGCTTATACCGCGGTTACGAACACGACTTGGCCCCATATCGCGACCCCGCCAGATGCTGCTATAGGTCCGATGGGACCGCTAAGAATGTCGTGGGCTGCACTGTCCGATGTACATGCCACTTTTTAACCAATAAGAATCTGCAAAACGCTCTGTTACAGGTCCAGGTGGACCTCTAAGCGGTCTGGTAGCTAAAGGGTTATACTTTAAAATATACTAGAAAAGCGCAAATGAAGCTTAATCTAGTGGTCTATCACTAAAAGCAATTCAATCCATTTTCGTGTCAATTACTCTCAATCCGCGTGCATACAAATCCTCATACGAGCTCATTTTAACCAATCGTACCCATGTCAGAGTGGACATTGACCAATCAGTTTCCTGTGCTGCGTACGTGCCTTCACAATACGCTGGCGCTTCCAGACGTCGAAATCAGCGGTAAATCTGCCACAGCACTCTGGATCAGCATGATGGGGCATCAATCTAAGGCTCTGCGCTCTCCTAGCGGATATCGACTCACTGTTTCCGACAATTTCTACACGCGGCACACCTTTGCTAAGGCAATTCGTGCTTTTACCGACGGTAAAATGCATACCATCGGCACCGTGCGTATGAATCTGATTGATAAGTGGAATAAACCAGCCGTGGAGAAGGCTGTAGAGCGAGTGACTGAGTCGGATCGTGGCTATTGGGAGTTGGTTGCTGCTGTTGACAAAGAGCCCGGGTGGAAAAAGAAAGATGCTGATCATCAAAAGGCGCAGAAGTGTCTTCCGAAAGCACAGCAGAGCGAGTTCAAACCAGAGCTTGTGCTTGCGGAAATGGCTGGCTACATCGTTTTCAAAGATCGAAAGGTAGTCATCTTCTACTCGAACGATCTGCGAGCAACTCCGTCGACTCGAACCCTGCCCGGCTCATCTCAAGAGGCTGTCGACTGTTGTCATGGCCTCTATCCAATTGAGCGCTGGACAGACGACCGTGTTTTGCATCGCAATATATTCATGGTACCAACCGTGATTGCAGTTTACAACCGTTACATGAGCGGTGTTGATCGCGTTGATCAACTGCGATCAACCAATCCATCTCGCCGTCGTGAGAAGCGTCTGGACATGACAATGAGTACCTGGTTGGTTGATCTGGCGATCAACAATGCCTTCGCTTTGCTGAAAAACACGACGTCATCGACTTTTACACTGCGCGAGCTCAAACGGCGCATTTCGGACGTCTTGACGAGCAATGAAACGAATATTCGGAGACGAAAATTACGGCGTGAAAAGTCGAGGAAGCGTGAAGCAGTCGACGAAGTTGTTGGGGCCGACACTTTGTTCCACATCATTACTCCTAACGCTACGGCACACAGCAATGGCAAGCTGACTTGCTACCTGTGTAGCATGCGAGGAATCAGCAAGAAAGCGAAGTACGGATGTACTAAATGCGAGAGGGGCTTTCACGTGGAATGCTTCAGTGCATTCCACTACCAAGATGTCTTCAAAGTGCGATCTACATCTATTCGCGATGCTCTTGACGCGGTGTGTAGATCGACGACGCAGGATCCTGTGGCGATTACACGAAAGCGCGTCAATAGATCAATCACAAGAGTAGCTGACCTAAAGCTTCCAGACGCTTGCTAATAGAGATCACTCACCGTGCTTTCATCCGGCCAGTTGTTTACCAGCCCTCTTCTAACGCACTCAGGAACCGCTCCGCTCATGCTTCCAGTTTTCATGTAAATAAACTTGCGACGGAGAATAGCGCGCACGACAGGGTTACGCCGTCGTTTGCGCGACAACGTGTCCACAAGACGAGCTGCTGTCTCTTGCAGCTCGCCCCCGTAGACTGCCCAGTCGCACTCGGAAGATTCACACCAATTACAGATATGCTCGCCTTCCATGCTCGTCGTCAATATGGATATGAACAGGAGGGGGTTTCAAGTTAGAGGGGGGTCTAGTTTAGAGATGTTATGGGAGCAACTGTGATTGGTGGATTTTTATCCATTCTTCGATTTGATTTGCTGAGATACAGGTCTCATTGAACCTGTAAGAGATGACTCGGTACTTAAGGGTTAATTCTGATTATTTTTGACGTCAAAGCGAAAAAAAGAACTCCACCCCTCCATAAAGTGACAGTTCAAATGGTCAGATATTGGCCAAAATGGCGGGAAATTTCTTCATTAAAAAAATCGTGCTGATGCTACGTAAGTAGAGCTTTCAAACTAACTCAAACACGCTTCCGTTGGAGCTGTACGACCGAAGTTATCGCCGATTTAAAGGACTGTTAATTCTTTTTCGGACCAGACAAGTACTTCAAGAAGTAATACCGATCATATGGACTCAGATGCTTGAAGTAAATCGTACTCGAGTACGCTTTGTAGCTAATTTGTGCTCGATAAGTGGTACGAATTACAACCGAAAGTGCCAAAAGAGCCGCACGATAATGTAAACTGCCAATTAAGGGCCAACCAGTTGAGAGAGCAAAACGTAAGAGCTCTATTTTCCCTGTAAATTGATTAAAATACTTGAACTAGTATTGGAGTACGGTAGTAGAATGTTGTTAAAACATTAAAACACTCCAATTAAGATTAAAAATTTAAGAAATCGGACGGCCAGGATGAACAGCGGCATAGGTTTTAAACATTCTCAGGGGAACCTATCATGGCGACAGGTACGTCTGCCAACAGCTCTACGAGTCCCTGCACCCATCCACTAACCACTTATATCGTAGCTAAAGACGACACGAATAACGTGCCGCCCACCAAGTTCTTCTTGCGCGGTAGGGGTGGCATCGAAGCCATCTGGGGCCCTCCGTCCTCTAGCAAGGACGAGGTCAAGGTCGAGCGCGATGAGGATTTTGACGCTCCAGGCAGCGCCGATCTCATGGAATTCACAGAAAACGGCAAGCTCGTGGTCCTGGTACGCACCTCTTCGGGTTTCACGGTGCGTGACGCAGATACAGGCGTTGTCGTGACGGAGGTGGCCAATGCAGGCATCCACGCTGTGTCCTGGTCGCCTCTGGGCTCGCACTTGCTCACGTGGCAGCGGCCTCAGAAGGAATCAGATCTCGGTAATCTCATCGTGTGGGATGCCGCCACTGGCAAAGAAGTCGCTCGCTTCAACCACAAAGCCTACACTCGTGACGTACGTGAACTATTTGACTAGAATCTGTCGAAGTGTATTAAACTAACGCTGTTTTACGATGGCATTGGCAGAAATGGCCGCCGCTCCAGTGGTCATCGGATGAGACCATCTGCGCGCGTCAGAGTGCGAACGGCGTGGTGCTGTACCACGGTCGCGACATTGGCGCAGGCTCGATTGGCCAGATCAACCTTCCGGTACGTGGTTTAACCAGCTAACGATGGCGTCAAGTGCGGACGCTGACAATGCGCCTTGCTGTAGAATGTGGCGAACTTCAGTGTGGCTCCTGGCAGTGCTCCTTACAAGGTGGCGCTGTTTGTTCCGGAGAAGAAAGGCAAGCCTGCGAGTGTCAAGATCTACCAGTTCCCAAACAGTCTGGACGCTCCAACAGCGACCAAGAGTTTCTACAAGGCGCAGGATGTGACGTTTAAATGGTCTCCTACTGGCAGTGCGCTGATCATCGAGACGCGTACGGATATCGATACATCTGGCAAGTCATACTACGGAGAGACTGGTCTCTTCTTCCTGCAGAGCGACGGCGAATATGACTGCATCGTGCCGCTTACAAAGGCGGGAACTGTACACGACGTGGCCTGGGACCCCACTGGTCGCGGCTTCGTGGTGATTGCTGGTGCAATGCCAGCCAATGCCACTCTGTACGACAACAAAGCGCTGCCCATCTTTGAGTTCGGGGCGGCGCCTCGTAACCACGTCAGCTGGAGCCCACACGGCCGCTTCCTGTGTCTTGCTGGATTCGGCAATCTCCGCGGTGATATGGACTTCTGGGAGCGTAACAAGTTGAAGAAAATGGGCTCAGCCACGTCCAACTCGGCTACGACGTTCTCCTGGTCTCCTGACAGTCGCTACTTCGCTACGGCCACGACGTTCCCGCGTCTGCGCGTGGACAACGGCTTCAAGATCTTCCGTTACGATGGCACTGGTCCTATCCACCAGGAAGATCGTGGCGAGCTCTACGACCTCAAGTTCCGCCCGGCAGCGCAGGATACGTACCCGAACCGTCCTCAGTCTCCACGTCGGAAGGGTGACGCTGCAGGTTTCGGCTCTTCGGAGGCCCCGAAGGCTGCGCCGAAGCCTCAAGCCTATCGTCCGCCGAATTCGACGGGAGCGCTGGCTGCTATGATGCGCAAGGAAGAGGGTGGTTCGCGGAAGCTTGACCGCAACAAGTACGCCGCTCCTCGCTTCGTTGCTTCGTCCGTTCCCGGTGCTGCGCCTCGTCCGATCCCTGGAATGGGCGCGGCAGCTGCGCCCAAGAAATTGAGCAAGAGCGCACGCAAGAAGAAGGCGCAGGAGGCTGCGGAGGCTAGAGCTGCTGTGGACGAGGCTCTGGCTAAGGTTTCTGGCACTGCGTCTACGAAGGAGGAACCGGACAAACCCAGTGCGGTGGAGATGGCGCCTGAAGAGAAAGCCAAGAAGGTTAAGGGATTGCTGAAGAAACTCAAGCAGATTGACGCGATCAAGGCCAAAAAGGAGGCAGGCGACTCGCTCAACGACGACCAACTGCAGAAGCTCAGCACGGAACAAGCTTTGCGTGACGAAGTGGCCGAACTTTCTGCGTAAAGTTGAGAATGATGCACAAGTCGAGCTTAGAGAACGAGGTTGCCACTGTGGGGGAAATCAATAGAGAGTATCGTCCACACTCGCACCCGTCTTCACTAATGTTGTGTTTCGTATTAGCTGGAGAGGGAAGCGTACTCTGCCCACGGAGCTGACGGCGTGGGAGGTGGAGACACAAAATGCTGTTCAGAAGAAGAAATTGTTCGGAACAAGTTAGTCAACGTTTGCAAAGTCTTTGTCGACTGCATTTGCGTACCGGTGGGATGGCCGAAGCTCCTCGTGTCTGCGGGAAAACAATGTACAAGTCCCATGCTCGCCGGACTTTGATTAAGGAGTCAAGAGTCAATGTCTCGGGGTCAAGACACTGCTCCGAAGGTCTGCTCTCGGGAAAAACTGTGTCCGAACGTGAAGCCTCCTCTCGGTCTCGCGGCTTTTCCGCGTCTTCTTTAGTAGCCGTGCTGTCATCAGTTGATCCCACCTTTTCAACTTTTTTCGCGTTTGCCGCTCTACTGAGACTCGCTTCAGCACAACGTCTCCGCTTGACTCGCTTCCGATAGGCCTGTTTGATTGGTCATACTAGTATTTGTTAGAGCAGTCCAAAACAAGAGACGCCGAAGTCCTTCGCACCTTCTTCTTGTCGACCCTAGCGGCAAACGCGCGAATGCCGGCAAGTTGTTGCTCAGGGAACAATCCCGACGTCACGTTCATTGCTTCCAGTTGACTCTTCAAGGCTTCACACATGGCAGTTTTTCGTTCACGTTGTACACGCAGTCTCGAGCCTTCCACACTCGTTGCAGCATTCTCAGAACTCGCCATTCGCTCTTCAACACCAGCCAACGCCATTGCCTCCTCTTTCAACTGTTCCGCCAGCTTCTGAGCCTGTGCGACGCGACGGCGTAGCAGCCTCAACGGAGGCTCATTAGCTTCATTTACAGCTCGTTTAAGCTTCTCTTGTGAGCTGCAGTGTGTCCTTATAAACGAGTCCAGCCACAGCTGATCAGGGTCAACTGGGCGAGGAGGCACAAACCGAGGGTGGTAGCCTGTAGCAGGACATGGAGACCGCGGATAAAATCGTGGAGGGAATGGAAACGCACGTGGAGGCGGTGGGACTGGAGGAACAAACGCTGGGCGTCCCCATGGCGCAGGCGGCATAGGCGGAGGCCATCGAGGTGGTGGCCGTTGCATCAATCTTAAACAGTGACGTTGTATATGGGTACATACTCAAAATCAAATTTGGTCACATGGATACATAATCTGTGATTTTGTCGCTGCGGGCGAGGCACAAAAAACCATGACGGACGCACATACCGAGTTGCTCAAGTGTGCGCTACAGCTGGCGAAATGCAGTGATAAGGTACGCAGCTTAAGGCCACGAAGTATTAAACGTACTGAGTATGGTGCTCACTGCTGCAACGCGCAGCTCCGTGCGACGGACGCGATGCTGGGCAAGTCCGTGACTCGTATGCATCGCGACCTACCCGCTTCTGGGATGCCGCGCCTGACATCCAAGCTGGCCGTAGTACCGGCTAACCCGGTACGAGAGGCGCACACTTTAGAGGAGAAGTTCCAGGAGGTCTATGACCAAGGAACAGAATTCACAGAGCGATTGGAGATCACCAAGTCGAGACTGGAGAAGGAACTGCGGCGGCGCTCGGAGAACGTAAAGACTTTTGTTAATGGAAGAGTGATGATCAAGGGTGATTGTTATTTAACACTGAGCTGTGATGCAGTTCCGCGATCTGGTTAAAACTCGAAATATCGACATCCAACAGGAATACGCGCGTATGCTCAAGGAACTGGACGACCAGGTGGAGTCGTTGGACCAGGAGATTGCGCAGGAGAGGGAGATGAAAGCCGAGCGCGCTAAACGACGACGTGAGGAAGATCTGGAGAGGAAAGCGAACAAGAAACAGCACCTCGAAGCGGAAACGTCGCAGCTGAAGGAGAAACTGGACGAATTCACGTCCGAGATCCGACAACTGCAGGAAGTCTTTGCAGACCTGGAAAAGGAGGTCGAGAGCCAAGGAAGCGACAACAGTCCCGATGATGCTCAAAGCGTAGAAGAACGGCAGCGACTGGAGGAGGAACGTGCTCAAAACGAAATCGTGGAACTCCAACAGGAAATTGTGCTGCTGAAAGAGGCCCAGGAGGCGATTGCGGAAAAGATTGATGTACGTAGCGTACTCTGGCATTACTCTGTGCCCACTAATGTGTGTATGCTTGTATTGATATGTAGAAACAATCATTGAAGGCTCAGTATGAGGAAGAGAAGCAGGAGGTGTTGGAAGAAACAGCCCATGTAAGAGTTGCCTTCTGGTTTGCTTATATACTTGTTGAATTGCTGAGTCTTAACGTGAATGTTACAGCTGAAAGGTTTGGTGGAAGACCTTACACCTCAGATCAACTCCAGTGGCGTCCGACAGCACTCGCTGCTGCGTACACTCGCGCCGTCTCCAGGCATCGGAACACTTATGACGCGCTTGTATCAGCAGCTATGCGGTGATTCTCGTGCGTCGTTGTCGTCGGACCAACCTTCCACACCTCGCAAAACGGTGGACTTGAAGGCGTTTCTCAACGTGAGTTAAGTGCTTTGTGGAGTGTTTGGCTGCTGTAGAACTAAGCTTTAAATTGATGCGTATGTGCAGAGCTGTCCGAGCTTCGAAGAAGGCAACCGAGCAATTGATGAGCTCAAGAAGCTACAGCTCATTCATTGCTACGAGTCCAGCGGAATAATCGCACTGGCCGATTAGCAAGGCACAAAACACTTTTTCATTATCCTCAAGACCAAACTCAACATATTTGAGCGACGTTGCCGTCTACCAGACTAGTCCCCGCTCACAGTTTGCTGCTCTTGTTGTTGAATTGTTTCTTGAGTTCCATCACGGTGGCCAGGAACTCTCCCGACGCAGCACGGCGGTCCAGTTGCTCGAACTCATAGAACAGCGCCTCGCGGATCTTCGGGGCGCGTTCGCGACGCAGCAGCGTCTTGTACACCGGCAGACTGGTCTTGTTAAAGCGGTTGTTGACAAGTGGAGTGAGCTCAGCGAGCACCTTCTCCAGAAAGCCGGTCGTAGGGAAGACTTCTCCCACAATATTAGTGCTCAACGCTTCTTGCGCCGTGTAAACCTTGGAACGGATCACCAGGTTGTTAGCCACAATAGGTCCCAGCAGGTGTGGGAACGTGTAGGAGGACGCGAACTCCGGCACGACTCCAATCCGCAGAAACGGCGTCCAGAAGGTGGCGCTGTCGGCCGCGTACACGAGATCGCAGTGCATGAGTAGCGTGACGCCGATGCCGATAGCAGGGCCGTTCACAGCGGCTATCAGCAGCTTGTTGCAGTCTAACATCTTGTGCATGAAGGTGTGAGACGGACTCTGTGAGGGCGGACGGACGGATCCATCGCCCAGGATAGCAGCTGTCTCCTTCACGTCGGCGCCGCTTGTGAAGTAGTCGCCGTGGCCTGTGAGGACGAACGCGTGTAGCGACTCGTCGGCCTCAAACGCATCCAGTGCCGCAGTAAGCTGCTCGTATAGCGCGTCGTTGAAAGCGTTCTTGGCACGAGGACGACTCATTTCGACGACGAAGACGCAGCCCTCGCGCACATGGCTGCGAACCACCTTCTCCCGCTGCGACGTGATACTCATACTAATATTCTACTTGTGATTGGGTGCGCGCTGGATCGTCGATCGGATTGTGTTAAACGATGTGCTTCTAGCCTGGAGCTTCCAGGCGACGAGGATTTCCGTTTATGTCAACGTGTTGAAGTTTCACTCTGTACAGTCAGTACCTTGGTACATGTATTAATACATGTACACCATTTCCCGGCCAAGTTTCCAGTTTAAATGGCCCGTTCTTGTGTGATCTAATTTAAGGCTGTGTGGAGTCACACCATTTTTAATTTTAGGCTACGGCATTTGGCGATTTGCAAGAAAAAGCCACTTTTCCCACGACTTGCATTTCTGCCCATCACACTTTTCAAGCAGGTTGCAAACCTGGTTAAATACATAGAGCCTACGGTACCGCATGCTCTGACGCTTCAAGGGTACCCCTTATTCAGAGAAGAAATAAATGCACAAACAAAGCCAAACAGTGACTACTGCATTCACAGTACCATATTAACAACATTTAAGTTGTCCTACAATAAAAAATGTTTTGGAGGGCTTCATTTCTTGAAGCACCATGAGCCGTGCCCTTCGATGCGGTAACGTAGGCTCTATGTATTTAACCAGGTTTGCAACCTGCTTGAAAAGTGTGATGGGCAGAAATGCAAGTCGTGGGAAAAGTGGCTTTTTCTTGCAAATCGCCAAATGCCGTAGCCTAAAATTAAAAATGGTGTGACTCCACACAGCCTTAAATTAGATCACACAAGAACGGGCCATTTAAACTGGAAACTTGGCCGGGAAATGGTGTATAGTAGTAATCTTGAAAAATGCTGGGGGGGGGGCATTTTTTGGCCAAAATGACTACAGGATAGGGCGTCAATAAGGAACGGGTGTCAATTTATAACCTGATACAAATAATATTATGTAATTATACAGGACTCTTGTTGAAGCACTGATTTTTGGCAGACTAAACACGGTACAGTGTACCGGAGGTACCTGTGGTGGGCGGGAAATTTGAATCCGTCGCGTTCATTCAAAAAGATGCAGCGAGAACTACACCGCCGTGTACGCCTTACCAAGCAGCAGCAACTCGAGCTGTGCAGGATGCACAGCCTTGAGCCTACGTGGAGCCTCGCAATACTTGGACGATGGGCAGAGAAGCAGTTCGCTTTGGAGAAGGCTCCAGCGAAATCATCCGTCAAGCGAATTGTTGAATCCGAGGCGGCTCTCAAGAGTATTCCTGTTGACTTCATCGGCCTCATAAAAGCGCCAAGGGCGTCAATGCTTGCGCTGGACTCCTGTATTGTCGAAATGGTGCTGTATGCGGAGCAGCGGCATGTTCCCATATCCAGCCGCTTGCTCATGCTTATCGGTAGGCTTTACGCCGACGCGCTTCATATCCCGCCGACCGAACGTCCTCGATTTACGCGCGATGGGTGGCTGAAGCATTTCATGCGGCGATACGGAATCCGCCATCGCCGAGACCACGGTGAAATCGGGTCCGTAGACCTTCCTGCTGCGCGCAAGGCCGCGCTGGACATGCGCAAAACGATCGCGAAGTATGACCCTGACGATGTGTACAACATGGACGAAGCTGCATTTTTTTTCAAGGCGACGCCAGGCGCTAGCATATGCCTAAAAGCAGCTCCATCGCGGAAAAAGAGAAAGGATCGCATGACAATTGTGGTGGCTACTAACAGCTCGGGTACGGACAAGCTCCCGCTTCTCTTTCTTGGGAAAGCCCAGCGGCCTCGGTGGTTACCCAAGAAGCCTGCAGATGCGGAATACCGAGGGACCAGCAAAGGGTGGATGACGGTGCCTGTCTTTCAAGACTGGCTGAAAGAGCTGGACCGACGGATGGGGCACGCCGGAAGGAAGATTCTTCTTCTACTTGACAATGCACCCGTTCATATTGCTTCAGAGACTGACCCAGACAACGTTGAGCTTCTGTTCCTGCCACCTAACACGACGGCAGCCATTCAACCGATGGATCAGGGCGTTATTGCGTGGGTGAAGCGGCGCGTGCTAAACGATTTGGGGGAGGAAGCAGTGTGGAAACTGTGCTGTGAAGAAGATCCTTTTACGATTGAGACATCAGAGGCTGTCATGTGGTGCAATGATGCCTGGAATGCCTTAGACGCCGACACGATCAAGGCGTGCTGGAGGCACGCAGGTTTGTACGTAGATAGAACCCAGATTGGTGACATTATTAACTAAAATAAGTACATAATCACATATTTTACATTTTATGCCCTCCCATCCGAAAATACCGCCAATAATCAGTATATATCAGGCGTTCCTTATTGACGCCCCATTCTGTACATGTATCATATCTCTTATGGCTATTAATAGATGGTTCACCAAAAACACGTCCGGAAATGTTCAACCATACACCCCGCGCCACATTAGATCACGCATCCATGTCGGTGGCTGTAGCTCACTCAATTTTTAGAGTTGGAGCGTGCTATTTAAATAAGTTGTTCCTATTAACGCACAAAATAGGCTATACGTGCTAGCGATTGCGATTTTGCAGTTTACCCCAGGGCTCCAAAACAAACAATTGAATTTTGCACTGCGACACATTAATCACGCACGCCTTATTTTACTGAACTCAAGTACTATGAATCGTAATGATCGTGTCTAGTGTACGTGAACGTATTAGCATTGTATGTGGTGGGAGACTAGCCGTTTGCCGCCGCTACGCGGCGGGCTAGCATGGTTTGTTGGAGATGAGGTGACCGCAAATTTAAGTGTTTCTTGATGTCGCGTGCTTTGTGAGCGTCGTTCACCCCAGTAAGTCTTGGCTTCGTGTAAAACCACTTACCGCTCCGAAGTCTCGTGTGGACCCGTATAATATCGTGGTTTGGTACCCCGTACTACAGGTTGGATGTCATGTTCTTCAACAGCCCGCGCTCTTCCGTGCTCTTCCTGGATTCGTGGTTCCCTGCTCACCCGTGGTCCATACTGCTTAGCGATTATGGGCCCTCTCTATTGGGCTCATGCTATTCGGTAGTACGACCCGCTTTCGAGGCTTCTAGTTATCCCTGCTTTCAAACGTTTACGTGGGTTGCACCCTTTTCGTAGTGCGAATGCTTTCGTGGCCGTTGACCTCCCATCGCCTGTACTCTAGCTGAAGGATGCTATTCCGTAGTTTGGTGCCTCCACGTAGTCGTGTCGTTCCGTCGCTTCTGTATCGTGCTCTCGTGGTGAGTTTCTATCGACCGCGTTATCACGCTATCGTGCAATCGCGGTGTGGTTATGATGTCTAAGGTATTGTGCTCGCGTAGTGCATTTGCGTTGCCCGTGTTTTTGTGTTCTACAGTGGCATCGTGCTCCACAGTGTGTAATCGTGGTATGCTGAAGTTCCCCTGTGATTTTTATGGCTGGGACGCCGTCCGTGCAATCGTGTTATAATGAGCTTTCGTCCTCCGTGGCTCGGGGAGCTCAGGCTCTACACTGGTATCGTTCTCCGTGGCCCATTGATTTTCCATCTATAGCTCCCGTGGCTGCTTTTTCTCTCATTATTTTGTGGTTGACCCATCGTCCATGCTATCGTGCTATCTCGTGGTGTCGCGGTTGGCCTGTCGCCCGTGCTTTCGTTAACTATAGTGATATCGCGCTCCTTAGTGAGCTCCGGTTCTACCCTAGTATCGTGTTCCAATGCTCGGCAATCTCCCGATTATGATCTACCGCGGCTTCTTGTTTGGTCGGTCGATTGTGCTCCGTTTTCTACTGTGGTGTTATGGGAGAATTCCTGTCCGTGCACTCTTACCGTTACGTGTTCTAGCGTGGCTTCGATAGTGCGTACGCTTTCGAAGACGTGCTTTTCAACATGTTGGGGTGTCATTTTTTCAATTACGTTCCGTCATTTGTACGCTCCCGTCATGTTCTTGCCATTCTAAGTTTTTTTGGTAGCGTGATCGTCCGTGGTTCGTGCTTTTCAGAATCGCTAGGTGCCTTCATTAATTTAGTCCTCTTTCAACGTTCATGGCATTCTGTGCTTAATGTCGCTCCATCTATCCCATCGTGTATATATCCTGTCTCGGTGTTCTTCCGTGTTTCGTGCTCTTCTTTAATCACGTGCCTCCACGCTAATTTAATCACAAACACTGCTCCTAGTGCCTTGAATATACGCTACGTGTCGAGATGGAAAGTACGCACTTTTATAAGGTCGTGCACTACGCGCATTTACACAGAATAATGTTCTATTTTTCGCGGCGGCGGAGTGGTGTGTGTGGGTGTAGAGAACCCACTATAGTCACATTTTAAAAGTTTTAGTAGCTAATAATAGTTATGTATTTGTATCAAACAAAATATAACAGCTTCATGTACTACTACTACAAAAGATCGTAAACAAATCTATAAAAGAAATTAAGAATAGTACTATGCAAAACAAGTAAGAATTATTAAAAACGTACTACAAATCTTAAAAAAAACGTATATAATGACGGCCTTTGTGATAGTAATCAGATCACGATTATATTCCATGCTATGATTGGTCAGAGGTTATGAGTACGGAATCAGCTATTCATGTTAGCGCTTCGTCTTAAGACGAACAATATGCGAGTGTACAGCCTCAATGTCGCCAACACAGCGGGCAAGATTGAGAAGGATGGTGAGGCCGTGGCCACTATTATCGAAGGGAACAATTACGGTTTCTACGCCTGTAACTTTACCGGATATCCGTAAGATCCAAGTTCCGGGACACCAAGTTCCGGGACAGGTGATATCTAACAAGGTTTGTTGCCCGCTTTTGCTGTTTTTTTTTCTCGATAGGTACAAAGTCGATTGTAAAGCGTCCCACAAGATAATTACTCCGCTCGTTTAGGTATTGTCGTGTAGAGGTTTGACATCATTGCTGAGAAGGCAGCATTAAACACCTTGTCGGCAGTGGGGATTTGAAAGTCGGAGATTCTAGTCACTTCAGCTGGTAGTGCGGTGGTTTCCTTCGCAAGCTGCTCCAGGTACTCCATCACAATACTAACGCGTGAGTGTCTCATTCGATGAGCTGCACTAATATCGTGCTGCTTACTTAGCTGTCTGTATGGACGAATCTTGGCGCCACGATCACAAAAAACCCAGAGGTTCCACATAGGTTTTACG